CCTTTTTCAAAATACTTCTAATGGTGCTGTAATTCTTTGGTTCCATGGTAGACCTAATGTAAATTAGCTTCATATTAACTATTTTTATATAGGAGCAGTTCTATATATCACTTAACAAATGAGACATTATAAAACTGTTAATTATGATCACATTACAAATGACTAAATTTTGATCCCTGAAATTCTTGGTTATACCAATGTTCACTTTGGTTTTGTTGCAGCATGTCCCATATATTGTATGACAATATTTTTATTAATATCACGTGCAACCAATAAAATTATTTCCCTCTATAAATTCATCCCTCCATAAATGTACGCTCTCATCCATTCCCAAGAGAGGTGTACTTATGGAGAGTTCATTGTATTAAATGTATTTTTCAAAAGTACATTCATACCTCCATATAAGAATACTGTTGGGCTTTTTCTAAAAAATGTTCTTCTAGAGAGGTGTTCTTATATTTTTCTATAAGCTTGATAGTAATTGGTTTTCAAGACATGTGTTATTGTGTAAAGCTTTTTATATGATGCTTTTATATGGAAGGTTCTTATCATTATTATATGGAGGTATGACTGTTGTACCTTGGTTGGTCACATGATTTTGTTTGATTTTAATTGGTAGATCTCATTGGATTTTTATCTAAAGGATTAACAAATGATTTTTACTATTATGGAATCTAATAAAAAATATTAAAGATGAAAAAGCTTTATTATCATTCAAATCCGACTTCAAATTTTCCAATTTCACCACCATTACCATGTTTTTCAAATTTAAATGAAGCAAAGAAATGGAAACCTGAATTGGATGATGAATTGGATGAATTTAATATTGCAAGAATTGATTTGAATCCAAGGCCTAATTTTAATCAAAATAATCTTACACAAGATGAAAAAGATAAAGCAGATATTAAAGTTATTGTTTGTCATGATTATGCTGGTGGTATGTTTTCAAAAAAAAAATAGAATGCTAATACCAATGACAATAATGGATTATCATTTATCATTTATCATTTATTTATAAATTTATATGTAATATATGTCATATTTATTTTATATTATTAGGATATAAAGAGAATCATTTTGATCTTGGATATAGTATTCAATATTGGCAATATATTGATATTTTTATTTAGTAATTATCTTTAATTTAAATAATTGTTTTTTTAAAATAAATAAATAAAATTTTATTTCTAATTTGGTTAATTTAGTTTTTCTCATCAAAGAATTGCAATTCCTCCATCACAATGGACCAATGCAGCTCATAGAAATGGAGTAAAAGTACTTGGAACATTTTTAACAGAACATGAAAATGACCTATTTGAAAATGATTTATTAGTATGTGGACCAAATAGTAATAATTATAGTGGTGGTGGTAATGGCAGTGGCAATGATGATAGTAATAGTAGAGGAATTGTTAGTACATATTTTGCTGATAAAATGGTAAAGATGGCAGAATATTATAATTTTGATGGATGGTTTATCAATATTGAAACAGAATTAATTGGTAAAAGTTTACATGCAAAACAAATTGAAACATTTGTAAAATATTTAACTGAAAAAATGCATCAACGTAAGCCAGGATCAATTGTAATTTGGTAAATTTATTATTATTATTATTATTATTATTATTATTATTATTATTATTATTATTTGGAAAATCTATTATTAAAATTTGAGTTTATTATTTAAGGTATGATTCTGTAATAAAAGATGGAAGAATAAAATTTCAAAATTGTTTAAATGAATTAAATTATCCATTTTTTAATGCGGCTGATGGAATTTTTATTAATTATTTTTGGAAAGAGAATTATCCAAAATTATCAGCTGATAAAGCAGAACTTAGAAAAAGAGATGTTTACACTGGTATTGATGTATGGGGTAGAAGTACTTTTGGTGGAGGAGGGTAAGTAATGATTTATTAATTATCAATTATCAAATGATATTCTTATTAATTGAATTTGTTAATTAATTATTATTTTATAGATTTACAACTTACAAGGTTCTTCATTTCTCTTAAAACATTTAACAGAATACCATCACTACTATCGTTACTTTTATTACGAGTTAATTAATCATGTATATTGTTAATATAGGCGTTAGAAGTAATTAAATCATCAAAAACTTCTTGTGCGATATTTGCACCTGGTTGGACTTATGAAAATTTTGGTAAAGATAACTTTTGGAGAAATGATCAAAGATTTTGGATTGGTAAAGCTGATCATAAATATGCTGAAGAAAATGATGATCATGATAATTTGCCTGATGAAGGTAATAAATAAATAAATATTATTGTTACTGTAATGGTGTCAATAATAATTTTATTTATTATTATTATTAGAAAAAAGAATTGCAGTTGCGCATTACATAAAACCAAGATATGCACCAGGTTTAAAAAATTTTTATACAAATTTTGATAGAGGGTGCGGATATAAATTTTTTATTAAGGGAAAGGAATTTTTAAATCAAGAATGGTTTCATCTAAGTCATCAATCAATACTTCCATTGCCAACCAAATCAATAATTAATTTATTTGATGTTAATCATAATACTTTATTTTGGAATCTATCTTTTGAAAAATCATTTTCAGGAGGGTCATCACTTGCTTTAAATATTGCTAAAAATAATGATAATGTTAGTCATAATAATAGTAGTTTAAGTATTATTCCACTTTATGATTTAAATTTGAAAATTTTAGGCTTAACAAAAATCAAAGTTACTTATTCAATAGAACAACCAAATACAAATATTGGATTATATGTTAAGATAGGAGGAATAAATAACGAGGATAATGAGGATAATGATGGTAATATTATTCAAGTTGATGAGCTAGATAATGATGATGATTATAATTCAATAGATGATTCTTACCCTTCAATAATTTTGTTAAATAATAATAATAGTAAAGATATTAATATTAGTGATTATAAAGATTTTAACAATTTTACTCCATCCTCATCAGCAATTAATTTAAAACAACAACCATTACTAAGGAATCTTCAGCAAAAAAAGAAATCAATTGTTTTAAAGTCATTCAAAACAGTTTATAATTGGTGGACAACTGAATTAATTATTGATCCCAAACAATTATCCAATAACAATAAAGTTGATTATTATGTACAAGAATTAGGGATTACATTTATGAATAATAATATTAGTGGTAGCAGAGAAGAAGACAAAGATATGGTTGTTGCTTATATTGGTGAATTATCGGCAGTAAATGTAATAAGTAACTCTATAATGAATACATATAAACAAGAGATTCAAAATATTTATATTCTAGAAAAGTCTTTAATTATAGAAAAATTAGAGTCCAAAAATGTTTTACTAGTAAGTTGTTTAATTAAATGGGAGTTAGGAATTCAAACACAAAACGATTACACAATCAATAGTGGCAATAACAATAATAATTATGATAAAAAGTTATTAGATTCTTTTGATTATTTTTATGTTTATGCAAGTTTACAGCCCTCAATCGATTCAACATCGCCACCAAATGATGACTTGGTATTTTTAGGTGTAGCTGATACAAATAAATTTATTGTATCAGGTTATCAATTATCTTTGAATGAAATTATCATGAAAAAAAATTTTATTCTAAACTTTCATGTTAAAGGTATTAACAATTATTATGGCGAGGAAGAGGAGGAAGATAATAAAATATTTAATAAATGGAAATGTTGGGTTGATTTAAACTATTTTATTTATAATTAAACTGAATTATATATTTAAAAATTTAAAATAACAATAAAATAAAAAAAGTTATATTTGTTATATTTCTTATATTTCTTATAATTGATCAAATCTTATGTTACACGGTTTCGAAGGATAAATTTTTTTTTTATAAGAGAGAAAATGCCACGCCCAGAATATCAAGCCCCACCTGAAATTGTAAGTATATTAGTACTATTTTTTAAATTAAAATCCTAAAATTTTGAATTTAATCATAATATATTCTTACATCCATTAGTATTATAATGACAATGAAGCAAAAAAATACACTTCAAAGTATGAAAAAAAAAATTTTTGATTAATAGGAAATAAATTCTCATTTACTAAATATTCAAATTACCATTATTATTTTTTTTTGAAAAAGTTCAAGGATTCAAACTATTCAAGCAGATATGGTAATAAATAATTGACATGTTTATACATATACATATAGATCCTTTGATATATATTTCTAATCAATAGTCTTTTCTTTATATCTTATTTAAAAAAGACATATAGAGCTCTTGAACTTTTAAATATTCCAGAGGGAAAATCATGCTTTTTATTAGATATTGGATGTGGATCAGGATTAAGTGGAGAGATATTGGAAGAAGAAGGTCATATATGGGTTGGAATGGATATTTCACCATCAATGTTAAGTATGTTCTTTTTTTTCAATTAATTTTTCCAATGATTCAAATTAGTCAATATCTTATTGCAAATCTAAAATATTTTTATTTGAATGTAATATAGATGTTGCAATAGATCGTGAAGTTGAAGGTGATTTATTTTTACAAGATGTTGGTGAGGGAATGGGATTTCGTCCAGGAACTTTTGATGGGGCAATAAGGTACTGCTAACTATATAGAATCTATCATACACATAAAGATGATGATGATAAATCATATTTTCTAATAAGTATTATTTGTTTTTGAAAATACAGTATATCAGTTCTTCAATGGCTCTGTAATGCGGATTACAAATCACATAATCCAAGGTCACGTTTAAATCGATTTTTCACAACCTTATATTCATCATTACATCGTGGCGCTCGAGCAGTATTTCAATTTTACCCAGAGAATGATGATCAATGTGAATTGATTATGAATATTGCAATGAGGTGTGGTTTCGAGGGTGGATTAGTAGTTGATTATCCTAATAGTAAAAAAGCAAAAAAATACTTTTTATGTTTAAGTGCTGGACAATCATCACTTGATTCTGAAAAACAACAATTACCGAAAGCTTTAGGCGAAGAAGTTTATGATGATGATGATGAACAAAAAATCAAAAGTGTTGCTTATTCTAGTCAAAGGTATTATTTCAAAAATCGAAATTTAATAAAATAATGAAAAAATTCATTAATTATTTAATTATTTTTCAGGATTCAAAATCATCAAAAAGGAAAGAAACGCAAATCAATTAAAGATAGAGACTGGGTTTTACATAAAAAGGAAATTGCACGTATGCGAGGGCAAAAACAAATACCAATTGACACTAAATATACAGGAAGGAAAAGAAATCCAAAATTTTAATAAATTTTTGTAAAATAATAATAATAATTACTATTATCAATGTTTTGATTATTACAATTAAATTAAATCAAATTGAACTTGCATCAGAAATGTTTTATTCTATTATTTGATGAAACAGTGAAAATAACTGTGAAATGAACTTAAAATGTCAATACCATGATTCATTTCAATTTTAATTTATACATAGTAAATATCAAATTTTGTTAAATAATTGTTATTATTCACGTGCCTCAGATTGACCAATTATAATCAGTGTGTACAGGCGATAAAAAATTTGATCTAAATGATTTATTAATATTAATAGATTTTATAAAATAATAATTTTTTGATTAGATTACAATACTTTTTATATAATGAGAATTTCTGAAGTAAAAAGTACATCAAGAGAGCAACGTATTGCTCCTCACACACATATAAAAGGTCTTGGTTTAAGAGTAGATGGTGTAGCAAATCGACAAGCAGATGGTTTTGTTGGTCAAGAATCTGCGAGAGAGGTTATTTATTATCATTATTTTTTGATATGTTTATATCCTTCACTTTTACAAAACTTCTGATTTATAATTGTTAGGCACAGTGTGTACAGGCGATAAAAAATTTGATCTAAATGATTTATTAATATTAATAGATTTTATAAAATAATAATTTTTTGATTAGATTACAATACTTTTTATATAATGAGAATTTCTGAAGTAAAAAGTACATCAAGAGAGCAACGTATTGCTCCTCACACACATATAAAAGGTCTTGGTTTAAGAGTAGATGGTGTAGCAAATCGACAAGCAGATGGTTTTGTTGGTCAAGAATCTGCGAGAGAGGTTATTTATTATCATTATTTTTTGATATGTTTATATCCTTCACTTTTACAAAACTTCTGATTTATAATTGTTAGGCATGTGGAATTGTTGTAGATTTGATCAAAGCAAAAAAAATGGCGGGTAGAGCTTTGCTTTTAGCTGGTGCTCCAGGAACCGGTAAAACAGCTATTGCTCTTGCTATATCTCAAGAATTAGGACCAAAAGTACCTTTTTGTCCTATGGTTGGAAGTGAAGTTTACTCCTCTGAAGTGAAAAAAACTGAAGTTTTGATGGAAAATTTTCGAAGGGCTATTGGTTAGTGTGTAAATGTCCTTACATTATATATGTACATGTATATTGAACTATTGAGCTATTTGATTGATATAACTTAGGATTAAGAATTAAAGAAACTAAAGAAGTTTATGAGGGAGAGGTTACAGAACTTACACCAGAGGAAACAGAGAACCCTTTAGGTGGTTATGGTAAAACATTGTCACATGTAATTATAGGATTAAAGACAGTAAAAGGAACAAAACAATTAAAATTAGATCCTAGTATTTATGAAAGTATACAAAAAGAAAGGGTTACTATAGGTGATGTTATATATATTGAAGCTAATACAGGAGCTGTAAAGGTAATGATTTTTTCTATAGATATATATTCTTGATTATTAGAATTAACAATATATAAAATATTTGATTATTATTATTATAGCGCGTTGGTAGATCAGATGCATATGCAACTGAATTTGATTTAGAAGCTGAAGAGTATGTACCACTTCCAAAAGCTGAAGTACATAAAAAAAAAGAAGTTGTGCAAGATGTCACATTAAATGATTTAGATGTTGCAAATGCACGGCCTCAGGTAATTGAAAATTTTTAATTATTAATTGTCATAAATATATTAGTAAATTAATTTACTATTATTATTATTCTTGTTAGGGTGGACAAGATATAATGTCTATGATGGGACAAATTTTAAAACCTAAAAAAACTGAGATTACTGATAAATTAAGAAAAGAAATTAATAAAGTAGTTAATAAATATATAGATCAAGGTGTTGCAGAATTAGTCCCTGGTGTATTATTTATAGACGAGGTATCCATTATATGGTTATTTATTTTACTCATACAACACATGTGATAATCGTTAAAAATTAATAAATTATAATGTAATAAATAATATTTAAGGTACATTTACTGGATATTGAATGCTTTTCATATCTTAACAAAGCATTGGAATCTCCTATATCGCCTATAGTTATATTTGCTACAAATCGTGGAATGTGTCAAGTGAGGTAATTATCAATTCCTTGGACGGTTGAATATTATATATATATTTCACATATTATATATATTTAATATAATTATAACAGAGGAACAGAGGATATTATTGCACCTCATGGTATACCAGTTGATTTACTTGACCGAATCTTAATTATACGTACAACGACATATTTATTGGAAGATATAAAGGCAATTGTCCAAATCCGAGCAAAAATTGAAGGCTTGGTTTTAGCAGAAGATGCTTTAAATTACATGGCAGAAACTGGTAGTAAAACTTCTTTAAGATATGTAATGCAATTGTTAACGCCTGCAAGTATTATTGCACGTACAAATGGTCATGATAACATCACTTTAAAAGATGTCAAAGAGGCTGATGATTTATTTTATGATGCCAAATCTTCTGCTAAAATTCTTGCAGGATACCAAGGTTAATGATTTTGTTTTTTATTGTTAGCATTATATAATATAAAATAAATCTATAGATCTTTATCAAAATCAAATTGCTGGCGATTTATTCAATGATTTTATTGTTTTCAATAATTTTTAGCACTAAAGAGAAAATTCATTCAAATTTCAGATTCATCATGTTTATTTAGTGTTACGACCCGTTAAGACCTTATCCGGTAATTGATGGATTACCGGATTGTAACGGGTTAACGTTAATATTAAAGAAATTTGCATAACGGGTTGTTAACGGATTACGGTTAGCTTATTGTTATTATTATTAATATTAATATGGAAAAATTTAATCGGAATCTGTTTAATTGGTTATTTATAATTAGTTATACTTTAGATTAAAATACATTGAGTGTATTAAACCATTATATTAAAAATTCCATGTTGTAGTATGTGAAATTTATTTTCGGATGTTTAAAAATAAATAAATATCCAGATTTCTAAACGTGATCGCCACCGCTTGGAGGTGAAGAAGTAACATTTAGAAGTCCAGTTGTAAGAGCATTGAAACCAATGCAATTTATAAACGAAGATCGAATAAAACATATACGAGGAATTGCATGGTGTATATTTTTTACTATAATCTAAGAAAGTTTTTCCTGATTGAATTGAACGATTAATTTATTTATATTAGGTGTTGTACAAGGGTTTCAAAATGTTAATAGTAATAGGATGGCAGAATCTGCAAGATCGATTCTAGGGGTCTGATTCATTTCGTCGACAATCACTTCGTCGACAATAACTTCATCGACAATTATTTCGTCGACAATCATTTCGTCGAAAGTTCATTTTGTCGAAAGTTCATTTCGTCGAAAGTTTGTTTCGTCGAAATTATTTCGTCGACAGTTCATTTCTACAACAATTCATGTTAATTTGCATGTATTACCAATTATGTTTGGGAGAGCGTGAA